TCAAAAAGCCCATATAACTCTCCTTTATGGATTGTCCCAAAAAAGCCAGGTCCTTCTGGGGAAAGAAATACAGAGTTGTCGTTGACTTTAAGAGATTAAACTCAGTAACGATACCTGACTCTTATCCAATACCCGATATAAATAGCACTTTAGCTAGCCTAGGGGAGTGTAAGTATTTCACTACACTCGACCTCACATCCGGTTTTCATCAATATCAGGATGAAAGAAAAGGATGTAGAAAAAACAGCATTTTCCACCGCAAATGGTAAATATGAATTTACTAGGTTGCCATTTGGGCTGAAAAATGCCCCTTCTATATTTCAAAGGATGATAAATGACGTCCTTAAACCTCTCATAGGAAAATCCTGCTACGTCTACATGACGATATTATTATATCAGTTAGGCTGTTAACTAAGAAGAACTATTAACAAATATTGATAACCTTGTTTGCTTCTAAGTGCGTTGGTAAAATAAATATGGAAAAATCTAAGTTTTTCAGAACCCGAGTAGAATTCCTAGGGCATATTGTAACGGAGAATGGTATTTTACCTGACCCTGAAAAAATATCAGCAATAAAAAAATATACCTGCACCCGTAAATCTTAAAGAACTAAAAAGCTTTTTAGGCTTAGCGTCATATTATAGACGATTTATAAAAGACTTCGCAAAAATTGCCAAACCACTTACAAATTTGACAAGGGGTGAAAATGCGCAAACAAAAGCGAGTCAATCTAAAAAAGTAAAAATTTCATTAACAGATGAAGGATTGAAATCATTTAACGACCTAAAAATGTTGCTTGTGTCTTCTGAAATTTTGGCATTTCCTGATTTCAATAAATCTTTTATCTTAACTACGGACGCTTCTAATACCGCAATTGGAGCAGTCCTTTCTCAAGGGGAAATCGGTAAGGATAAACCCATAACTTATATATCTAGATCGCCCAATAAAACTGAGGAAAATTACTCGACAATAGAAAAAGAAATGCTCGCTATAGTATGGTCTCTTGACAAGCTAAGGACTTACTTGTATGGAGCAAAAGAAGTAAAAATTCTTACTGATCACCAGCCACTAACGTTTGCATTGAGCAACAGTAATAACAATGCCAAACCCAAAAGGTGGAAAGGTCGAATAGAAGAGTACAACTATAAACTAATTTATAAACCAGGAAAAACCAACGTAGTCGCTGATGCGTTATCACGGTTACCAATAGAGGTTAATACAATGACATCTTCCGATGAAATATCACAGCATAGTGCAGAAGAAGATAATTCACAACTCATACCTCATTGCGAGGCACCTCTTAATGTATTTAAAAACCAAATTATATTTCAGGAGGGAAAAGATGAAATTATTCACGAGGAACCTCACCCAAGGTACCATAGGCATCAAATTAAAAGCGAAGTCTATGATAAAACTAAATTAGTTAAACACCTTAAAGATTTTCTTAATCCAAATATTCTCAATGGAATCAAAATTCCTGAAAAGTATATTTCTTTATTACAACAAGTTTATCAGGAAAACTTTTCAAAATTTCGTATTAGAATCACACAAAAACTTGTTACCGATATTCCTGACGAAGAAGTTAAATTCAAAATAATAGAACAAGAGCACAGAAGAGCTCACCGAAATGAAAGAGAAAATAAAGAGCAAATATTGGAGAAATACTATTTTCCACAAATGAGTAAACTTATCAAGAAATATACAAAAGCATGCAAAACTTGTGGATGCAACAAATACGACCGCCATCCTCAAAAGCCTGAAATACAGGCAACGCCCATACCTTCATATCCAACGGAAATACTGCAAACCATAACCTTGAACAACATTAGTTACTCAAACTGGCAAACGAGCTCCTACCAAGTCCTACCTGCAATCCTTCAAAGTAATTTAACAGAAAACGAAATTAAGCTAGACCTCAGCTATCTACACAAACTTCACTTAAATAACCTAAAAAAATTAGAAAGAATATCATCACACAATACTATCTCAATAAGCACAAGCTTGACAGCTATTTTTATAACAATAACTCTATCACTTGGTCTGTATACCCTACTTAAACCAAAAAACAAAAACTCATTTATTATCCCACCAATAATAGATTACCCGCATATTTCAGTAAAGTAATACAATTTTTATCAGCGAGACGCTGATGCTTAAGAAGGGGGGAGTTAGCACAGTTAGCAGAAACTAAACTAAGTCACACAGTAAGCAGTTCCAAAAATCCAACAACAACAACTGCTTCACATTTCGTCTTACTAACTTCAAGCGGAAGTCGTGCAGACGTTACGTGAAACCGTTGTTGAGCAATTGAAGTTACTTGCACTTGCAAATTAGTGCATACGCAAAATAATATAAAAGCAATAATAAGCTAAAAGCCAAATTTCAATTTCAACTTATTGCATTGTCAGCAATTTTAGTACCTAAGTAGAACAGTAAGAAAAATAATAAGCAAAACACAAAAATAATGTTCACAATTATTTTAGTGTATTATCAGCAAAATTATGTCAGTTTGTTTGTATAAACGTAAATTTATAAGTATGTAATAAGTAAGCATAAGAAATTGTATAAAAGAGAAAACTTTCAATAAAGAAGTTTAAGTTCATTCCAATCACGACGAGGGTGTGTTCTAATTTTTATACCTTTGTCGTTATGGCGCACTCGCTGGAACCGTATTCAAAAGTAAACAAAATTTGTTATTTTTATTCGATAATTAATTTGCGCGTTGTACCGAAATGGAAGCGAACAAGAATTCAAATTTGTTATAATAATAATTCAAATTTAAACGGGCTGTATAAAGAAAACCAGCCTTTTTCACTTCGCGTCAAATGAGTGATGTGTTTATACCTGTTTTCTAACCGATGTGAGAAATAAAAAAGCGATTTCAAAACAAATTCGATTCAATACACTTTAGAATTTCTGAGCGTATTGAAAGTTGGTTTAAGCTTCCGTTTTGAATCACAGCGAACTGGGTCAAAGCGCTTTATGTGTTGGTATAAACAAGGTACAGTAGTTTTCCGATTTAACGAACACAATTATTGTCAGGTCAATTCGTTAAATCGGTTTTTTCTTTAAATCGAGTACTAAATTAAATGATTTATTTTTTAATCACATCGAATAAACACTACAATTTTAAAAATTCATACACATTTGTTCTTTAAATTGAGTACTTAATTAATAAAAAAACAAACAAAAAAACAATTCAAGTCACATTAGCTGACAATGTTTTCGACATGCAGTTGATTAAGAATGTTCACTTTTAGTTTAGATCATGGAGCTTTTTAATTTACAACATAAAAAATCTTTGCATTTACTTGAAAAATTGGTTAATCGTGGATTGTTTTTTGGAATATTTAGATTCATTTTTACTGCTTCTTCTTGAAGCTTTACAAGTACAATCTGTTTTGTTGATTCAATATTGTTCTGTTTGGCCCACTTGATGCACACATCAAAACTTTTAATGACATCCTCATGCTTAATTTTAAGCTCTTCAGTTTCAATATTGTCGTCATTTTCGTCATGATCATCTTCAGCATAATCGAAATCTTGCTCAGGCCCCTGCTGCACCCATTCATTTAGATCGTCGACTGTAAACCGGATCTTAAATACAACGTAGAGTTTTTTGTAAAAGTACATATTAAAAGAGGTTCACAAATTTCCAATCAAAACATACATTTGGAAACACTGAGTTTAGCAAATTTACTCCACTCCTCATTGCTAAAGTGTCTTCATCCTGCCGTAAAAAAGATGACAGTGGTAAGTCGTCTCCTTCATCGAAATTGTCGTTCCCTTTAAGAAGCTTATTCCAGCATTTCGCCAATGATGCTTCAGAAATCTTTTCCCATCCCAAAGCTAATGCTGTTGCAGCATCGTAAAGCGTGTATGATTTCAAAAATGCAATTACATCCTGGGTTTGAGTTGCGAAAAGTCTCGATAGAAGGGAACTTTTGTAGTGCAGCTTCAACAATCGAATTGCACTTTGGTCCATAGGCTATATAAGTGGTGTAACATTTGGCGGCATATAAAGCACCCAAATTTTACCACTTGCCGAATTTTTTACCAAATCCTCAGCCGGAGGATGAGATGGAGCATTATCGAGAATTAATAAGGCATTAATAGGAAAATTGTTCTGGGCGAGAAAACATTCCACCTTTGGTAAAAATCACAGTAAGAATAAAACAAAACTTAAAATTTTTTGAAAAATTTACCCGTGAAAAATTTATCGAAAAACCAATCTTTAAATATCGTGCATGTCATCCACGCATTTTTTGAAGAAGTATAGTCTACAGGTAGGCTTTTGTTTCGAAATGCCCGGGGATTTTGAGAGTTTCCTATTAATAGCGGTTTGATTTTTTTTTGTACCAGTGGCATGCTGCATAAAAGGACAGTTACTCTTTCTTTTGAGATTTTCCTTCCCTGAGCATTTCTCTCCCCTGAGTGCACATACGTTTTATCTGGTAAACTTTTCCAAAGTAGGCCGGTCTCATCGGCATTAAAAATAGCATTCTTTGACAAATCATGCTGTATAATAACTTCTTGCAGGTTTTTTTTAAATGGATCAACTAGTTCCACATTGGATGAAAGCTTTTCGCTACTTTGCTTCAGAAGTCCTATGCCAAATCTGTTTTTGAATCGCGTCAGCCATCCATGACTCACATTAAAACTTCCGCCATATATTTCTCGGTGTATATCCTTCGCTTTGTGTTGCAATACAGATCCAGTTATGGGAATGTGTTAATTATGCTGCGCCAAAAACCAGGAGAAAAATTTTTCTTCTATTCTTGGAAACTCGCCACTTTTAATTGCTTTCCTATTTTTGGATTTGTAACTCGATCTTTCAGAATTTTTTAAAAGTGTTTCTTTAGATTTCAAAATTGTTGAAACCGTAGATGCTCTTAGATTGAAGTTTTTACACAACTCGGATACACGCACACCTCTTTTATATTGATCAACAATTTTAAGTTTTTCATGAAGGCACAATCTTTTTCTGCTACTAATTTTTTAGCTTACATATGCATAGATGTTAACGCATTGACCGAAAATAAAGAACTAATAATAAAGTCACAAAGACACATTTAAAATGATTTTGTTTTTATAAGCTTTTATTTAACTTGGTCATCCCGCGCAAATCGCGGAAATTTCCAATCGATTTTAAACTGACTTCCCGACAAGTTAGAGACTTAAAATTTTCAGCATATTTTCAATCACGATGACACTGCAATTAAAAATGTAAATGAATTCTCCATATGGTCCAGGGGTCTTGATTCAAAGGCGACCAAAAAATAGGAAGATTTATGGGTAACAGAGCGTAATTTGCCAAAGAACGTAAAACCACTATAAAATTGTTAAAGCTGCCGGTGCGCCGCGGCGGTAGTGTAGCAAAGCTATTCCTAGTCTAGATATGAACCTCGTTGTAGGCATCATANTAACTCTCCTTTATGGATTGTCCCAAAAAAGCCAGGTCCTTCTGGGGAAAAGAAATACAGAGTTGTCGTTGACTTTAAGAGATTAAACTCAGTAACGATACCTGACTCTTATCCAATACCCGATATAAATAGCACTTTAGCTAGCCTAGGGGAGTGTAAGTATTTCACTACACTCGACCTCACATCCGGTTTTCATCAAATCAGGATGAAAGAAAAGGATGTAGAAAAAACAGCATTTTCCACCGCAAATGGTAAATATGAATTTACTAGGTTGCCATTTGGGCTGAAAAATGCCCCTTCTATATTTCAAAGGATGATAAATGACGTCCTTAAACCTCTCATAGGAAAATCCTGCTACGTCTACATAGACGATATTATAATAGTAGGTAGAACTAAAGAAGAACATCTTAAAAATATTGAAGATATGTTTGCTCTTCTACATAAAGCGAATTTAAAAATAACAAGTAAGAAAGTCTAAGTTCGGGCGGAGCCGAACATTAAATACCCGGCGCAAGTATTAAATATATGTTTTTTCACCCTTCCGAAACCTTCCGCTAGATGGTAAGCCAAGGTGTATCAATTTTGAGTAAATTAGCGTCCTTCAATTTCGAAATATTGAAGTTTCAAGCATTTCTTAAATTTACCGTTATATGAAAATCGGCCGTTATTTTAGTCCGATTTCAATAATTTTCAACGTTTTGCT